ATAACGTCGTCTGCATAACAGACAGGTTCAAATCCTTCGTCGGTTAAATTCCTTAAGAGTCCGTTTATGGTGTTTACCCACAGAATCCCTCCCTGTGGTGTTCCCTGACCTACTTTGTCTCTGATTGTTATGTCATGTACACTACAGCTTATCTATCTATTCCTTAGCATATAGTTGACCCAGTCTATGATAGTCCGATCCACTTGGAAGGTATCTAGGGATTGGATAAGCGTATTAGTGCTGACATTGTTGAAGGCTCCTTCAATGTCAATGCATACCGCTAAGGTATACATCTTCTCAGCGAAGGTGCCCTCAATATAGTGTACTACCTCATGTAAAGCGGTTTCCACTGATCTCCCCTTTACATACGCATGTTGTTTGTATTTCAGCGTATCATTGGGTATACCTGCTCTTTATCATGGTGTCGATTGTACGTTCCATGGTTTTGAGTAGGAAAGAAGTTAGGCTTATTAGCCGATTTGATTTTGGTGTGGCGTAATTTGCCTTCCCGGGCTTGGGTATGAAGGCTACCCTGTCTTCCTGCCAGGCTTTCGGTGTGTATTCTATAGAGTAACTGTCATCTTATGTTCCTGGGATAGCTGCCGTCTTCCATTTACGTGAAGAGATAACTTTTCTATATCTTCTTCTCCTCATAGCTCACCGATTTCCATAATGCTTGGAAGATTTCTCTCTTCTTGTACCTATAAATGGGTTCTCTTCTCATCAGCCATGACACCCTTGCATGCATATTTGTTCTACCTAATAACATTATTATTTTCTATTTATATTATAGACCTATTAATGACATCTAATTTAATAGAAATAATTTTAATATTTTGAATTTAATTACAACAGAAAGACACAATAATAGTTGTACCGATTGACCCCACATTCAGACTAGGCCGAGACCTGCTAAAAATATTACCTAGTATCAAATTTGAATGAAAGTGAATATATCGTAAATACCCTCATTACCCGTGAGCCTAAGGGTATATTTTATATTATTCTATAGAAGATTAATATATTTAGATATAAAATATAATATTCTATAGAAGATGTCTCCTCCTCTATTCCACAGAAGAGCTCCTCTTCTATTTTACAGAAGAACTCCTTTTCTATTTTACAGAAGAGCTCCTATACTATTCTCCTGACGACCGCCTCCTCTTCATTCTATTGAAGAGCTCCACATTTTTATTGAGGTTATGTAAATAAATAAATATACACACATTGACAAATATCTGTGAAGAAGTTTTATGTCCACCAAGAATCCATCATGCCAAATTACAAACACTTATCTTCGAAATTCCACCTTGGACCATCAAAACACTTTACAGCCATTTTGTTTGGAAAATCCGGCAATAACCTTCAATGTACCGAAAATGGTGAGAATATGAGAACTACTGCGTATTGAGAACATTCTGTGAAGACGTTGTTAGTGCCTTTAAAAATTCTGATGGCAAATTACAATCACTTCGGTTGAAAATGCGTTTTGCCGCAAAAAGCCACCTCGCTTGGACGATAACGTATATGGGTTCTATGTAAAATCATGAACCCCTATATAAAAAGTAAACCGTTTTTTTCCTCTAAGCACTCGGGATGGCAAAAAGAAGTCATTACGGGGTGCAAATGTGCCTAAAACTATCAAAATAACTAGATTATGGCTAGACCTGTATATGGGGGCTATGTCAAAACATGGACCTACAACAAACATCCGTTTCCACGACAGTGGGGTATACGGTCCGAAGCGACCCAAGTCTTACTCGGCCAACGTCTGTTACCTCGTCTGTTAAAAGCAATAGGGCTGCTACAACAACAAACATCTGTAAAAAGTATATAAATATATATTCCTTGTTCTACTATATAGTAGAGCTATTAAAAAATTCAAAAGTCCCGAGAAACGTTCTACTATCACTTATGGCGACCAATTTTGACGGCCTTGCTATACGCGATTTCAACTGTAATTCTATTATTTGACCATCAGGCGTATGAGCTATATCACTTTATTGTGCACTACGTATACGTCACATGTCACCGCCCGCAATATTAAAGCACAAATTGCGTCAAATTCTCAGTTCCCCGATATTTGTTCAATGAGGAAGCAGTAAAAAATGCCTATGTCGGAATATGCCATAAATATGTCGGAATAGGCCACAATAAATTCATATTAAATCGGTTACTCAATCCCCTTCATATGAGACCAGAAGAAGTCTTACAATAGAAGTCTTACAGTTTCGAACTCAATCTATGTTTGTTGAAAATAGTTTGGTGAAACAACTCGACGGATGCTGATTTCTAAATCGACTTCAAATTGAATAAAAGGCTTTTCGCCCAATGATACATGGGGCAAAAGCCCAAGACCGGCCAAATTATATCTACGATATACAGCCTTAAGGGTATAAAATATACAGTTGTGGTCACGCACTTAAAACATTGACTGTGGTAAAAATTTATTGATCAGCCCTCGGTTCGATGGAAGTATTTTCGATTTTTTTTAATTCAGAACATTTAGATATACTGCACTTAAGAGACTTATTGTGAAAATGGAAAATTATGACATATAATTTTTCCATAAATAACGGTTTTTATGAAAAACATCGACTTTAAAGTAAACCGACTATAGAAATGTATAATCGAAGCCTGATTTTTAATGTGAATGTTCGGTTAATCGATATTGTTATCCCTCATAGAAATTGATTACTTGATAATAAATCCACCAGACAATGAGGCGTATGAATGATGACACTTTATTAGGAATTGTGTATACTCCATCGTATAAAATGTTAAAAATGATTTAAATCGGGCGAAAATTCCAGTTAATTTAGAAAAAAAAATTATAGAAAACCACCAAAGAAAATACATACGTTGAAAAGAAAAAAGATACTCCCATTTTAATAGCATCTCTGGCAAAATACATCCAATTAGAAAATGCGAAGTTCGGTTTCGAGGTTTCAATGGTGAAAAGTTCTGGCCTCCTATGAAGGGTCCCCTCCATATGTGTTTTTAAAAGGGTTAAAAGGCCGAGGTTAAATCATTTTTCTATAGGAAAATCATCTACAGTCCATTTTAAACTAGTTTACTGAGGACTGTTTTTCTGATGAGACATACAAAAAAAATTCGCTAATTTCCAAGAATCTGTTTCATACTTCAGAAAAAAATACCAAGTCCACTGAATTCTCATAATAAAAAAAATTCTAGCCTCTTATGAAAAAATATATCCTCTCTATCTCCTTAGCCTAACTTTAATATTTAATCATATTCTATTGAAAAACCACCTATCTGTTATTTTTTATGATTCATAGGAAAAATTCGTAGGCTTCTGGCCTAAGAATAAAATGTCAATTGAATTAAATTTTTTGCTATTTTTACTTTCCTAGAAAAATACATATATGTATGTACATACATATGTATGTAGTATATTTTTATATCCTTCACCACTCTGTGGTACAGGGTATTATGTCTTTGTGCATATGTTTGTAACAGGCAAAAGGAAACGAGATAGACACGTGGTTCCTTTTGAGAATATGCATAGAATCACTTTCTGAGTCGATTTATGCATGTCCGTCCGTCCGTCTGTCCGTGCGTCTGTCTGTCCGTCCGTCTGTCCGTCTGTAGATGTTAAATTGTAAACAAAGTACAGGTCGCATTTATGATCCGATTTGAATGAAATTTGGCACAGGTCACGTATTTGGCCCAAGGACGAACCCTATTGAAATTGGAAAAAATCGGTTCAGATTTAGATATAGCTCCCATATATATTTAACCGATTTAATGTAAACGGTCCCTATATATCTTTCGATTTGCACGAAATTTGGTACAGCCTAATCATTTAGGTCTAGAATGATGTGTGCCAAGTTTCGTGAAAATCGGTCCAGATTTAGATATAGCTCCCATATATAGTTTCGTACGATTTCATGTAAATGGTGCACCAAAGTCGCTATATATATTTCGATTTGCACGAAATTTGGCATAACGTACTGAATTGAGCCTAGAAAGATGTCTTCCAAGTTTCGAGAAAATCGGTCCAGATTTCTATATAGCTCCCATATATAGTTTCGTCCGATTTCATGTAAATTATGCACCAAAGTCGCTATATATTATTCGATTTGCACGAAATTTGGCATAACGTACTGAATTGAGCCTAGAATGATGTCTGCCAAGTTTCGAGAAAATCGGTCCAGATTTAGATATAGCTCCCATATATAGTTTCGTCCGATTTCATGTAAATGGTGCACCAAAGTCGCTATATATCTTTCGATTTGGACGAAATTTGGCATAACGTACTGAATTGAGTCTAGAAAGATGTCTGCCAAGTTTCGAGCAAATCGGTCCCGATTTCTATATAGCTCCCATGTATAGTTTCGTCCGATTTCATGTAAATGGTTCACCAAAGTCTCTATATATCTTTCGATTTGCACGAAATTTGGCATAACGTTCTGAAAATCGGTCCAGATTTAGATATAGTTCCCTTTTATTATAGATTGATTATAAGTAATTGACGCACCAAGGATCCAATAGGCTGATAGGAACAAAACGTTCTGAAATTAGTGTAACCTAACATGTGACAAGTTTGTTTGAAATCGCTTAATATTTGGATAGAGCTTCCATATATATTTTCGCCCGATTTCAAGTAAATTGGGCATCAAACTCCTCATGTTAGTCAGATTGACATCATATTTTACACAACTTACAAAATTGAGCATAGAATTACGTAGTTGCGTTTTCTAGAAGTACACACATAGCCCAACGGATGACCTATTTATATTTGTTTGAAGTCGATTTACATACTTTATGGATAGATCTAGGTAGATTCACATTTAGATAAATATCACATATTTTATTTCATCCAATTTCATGTTTATAGCCCTGTTTAATATACCCATAGTGGTGAAGGGTATCATATTGTCGGTTCCGTCCGACTTTACTACTTTCCTTACTGGTTTAATTTAACCAATCATCAACGATTATTTAAATGATTTTACAAATTCCCCTCTCTTTCCAGCTACCGATGGCGTTCTACCCAACTGCCAAATCAAATGCGATGCAGAACCCTGTAAAAATGGCGGAATTTGTCGAGAAAATTTCGCCAAGCAAGAATCGAAATGCGACTGCGAACATACCAGCTTTTTGGGTGAATTCTGTATGGAGGAGAAGGGTGCCGATTTCAGCGGCGAATCGACGCTACAAAGGAAATTCGAATTAAATGGCAAAGTCGACTATGTCCGTCTACAGTTGGCATTTTCTTCGTTGGATTTGCGACGTGCCAATCGTGTAATGCTGCTGTTGCAGACAGCGGCTGACCGCAGCTATTATTTGATGATAGCCATAACGGCTGATGGTTATTTGCTATTCGAAGAAGACCGTGAAGGACCGGCGGTGGGTGCACGCATCGATCGTAATTTCCTGAACAATGCACGACACTCGATATACTATCAGCGTAATTTAACGGAGGCCACATTGTATATTGACCGCGAACCAGTGCCATTGGCACCGATTAGTGCGAGAGCATTAACACCATCCGCAGATATGGGTGCTAATCGTGTACAAATCGGTGGTATTAATACAACAGATACACGCTTTGCTGTATTTAAGAGTTACAGTGGATGTTTATCAAGTGAGTACAAGTACACCAAGTCACATACACACGCGCACACACACACACAACGCGAGCAATATAAACGAAATTCACTTCCACGCACGCACACACACACATACACACAGATAGATAGATGTACATTGTTAGAGAATCCACATGTAGAGATTACAATGTGTGTCTGTGTGTTGTGTATAAAATGCTGCCTACATTTATGTTTGTGTTTGTTTAGGCGATTGTTAGCCTATTTAAGAAAGGGCTTAGTCACTTGATGCACCGTTTAGTGGCACACAATGTAAACAATCGAATATGCGATATTCCATCATGAGCATGAATATAAGAGGCAACATGAAAATATTTTCGGTATTTGAAAGATTGAAGCCGCTTCATTTTCTGCAATCCGGATATTTGGAGGCTGACATTTGAACATCTATAGCGAAAATTATCAATATAGGTCCATGTTTTGACATAGTCCCCATATAAGGGGCCTGTCTAATTTTCGCTATTTTAAATGACCAGTATAGGTCCCCATATAAGGGTCCTGTATAATTTTCGATACTTAAAAGTGTTTAGCTCTCTGCGGTTTGGAGTTTGGGTTTGGACGTAGATCTATGCAAAAAATTATCAATGTAGGTCATTGTTTTGATATATCCTACAAACAATGAACCCATCTCATATTGTGCTATTTTGAAGATGTTAGCCGCAATGTCCAACTAAAGTGACTGTATTTGGCATTTCCGATTTTTTTGCGTGAAACATATTTTTGCAGAGCTATTTCGATAAAGGTTCATATGTTGACATAGCCCACACATAAAGGACACCCTTCCATTTAAAGTATTTTGAAAGTATTGGGGAAATTTTCCCTCGACGTTGCCATAATTTGGAATTCTTGTTTTTGGAACATCAAAACTATTTTTAGAACTATTTCCCTATTTTGACATAGCCCTCCGGATTTAAAAACTGACATACATCTATATAGGAAAAGATGACCCATCCCTTTCGATACTTGTTAAGGTTTTAACTGCAATTTCGAACAAAAAAGGATGCAATTTGTCATTTCAGATAGGGTGAAAATATATTTTCATGATTTTTTTTTTCTATATACATACATAGGTCCATATTTTGACACAGCCCTCATATAAGGCTCCCGACAAATGTTCGGTATTTTGATGGGTTTATCGGCATTTTTCTATTATTTGATATTCCAAGAACTTGAAGGTTCCGATACATTTGTTTTGACATATTCCCCATATAAAGTTCATTGATCCATTTTGGATAGTTTACGTGTTCTTGGAGGGTGAAAATATTTTTGCCGAACTATTTCGATATAAGTCCATGTTTTGACGTAACATCCGTATAATATTTTCGTCCCACTTCTGGTATTTAGAAAGTTATAGACACATTTTCCCATAAAACGATCTGTAATTTGGTATTCCGCACTTTAATAGGGTACAAAAATCTTTGCTGAGGGAATGTTTCACATTCGCTATTTTAAAGGTTATGACCTCATACTCCCACCAAAGTGGCTGTATTTTGGCATTTCAAGTTATTGGAGGGTCGAAAATATATTCTCAGAAAATTTTGTCATGAACAATGATTTATATAAAGGTTCCGAGCACTACAAGTATGTGTTGTATATAAAAATCGATTCTTCCGAACTTAATATATTTTTATACCCTTCACCACACTGTGGTACAGGGTATTATATCTTTGTGCATATATTTGTAACAGGCCGTCCGTCCGTCTGTAGATGATAAATTGTAAACAAAGTACAGGTCGCATTTATGATCCGATTTCGATGAAATTTGGCACAAGTCACTTATTAGGCCTAAGGACGAACCCTATTGAAATTGGGAAAATTCGGTTCAAAGTTAGATATAGCTCTCATATATATTTTCGTCTGATTTTATGTATATATCTTTCGATTTGCACGAAATTTGGTACAGGGTAATGAATTAGGTTTAGAATGATATGTGTTAAATTTCCCGAAAATCGGTTCAGATTTAGATATAGCTCCCATATATATCTTAGTCCGATTTAAGGTAATTGTTGTACCAAAGTCCCTATATATCTTTTGATTTGCCCGAAATTTGGCATAGCGAAATGAATTAGGTCTAAAATGATGTGTGCTAAATTTCCCGAAAATCGGTTCTGATTTGGATATAGCTCCCATATATATTTTCGTCCGATTTAAGGTAAATGGTGTACCAAAGTCCCTATATATCTTTCGATTTGCACGAAATTCTGCGCAGCGTGATGAATTAGGTCTAGAATGATGTGTGTCAAGTATCGTGAAAATCGGTTCAGATTTGGATATAGCTCCCATATATATTTTCGTCCGATTTAAGGTAAATGGTGTACAAAAGTCTCTATATATCTTTCGATTTGCCCTAAATGTGGCATAGCGAAATGGATTAGGTCCAGAATAATGTGTGTCAAGTTTCGTGAAAATCGTTTCAGATTTGGATATAGCTCCCATATATATACCAAAGTCCCTATATATCTTTTGATTTGCCCGAAATTTGGCATAGCGTAATGAATTAGGTCTAGAATGATGTGTGTCAAGTTTCCTGAAAATCGGTTCAGATTTAGATATAGCTCCCATATATATTTTCGTCCGATTTCAGGTAAATGGTGTACCAAAGTCCCTATATATCTTTCGATTTTCACAAAATTTGGCATAGTGTACTGAAATGAGTCTGGAGTGATGTGTGTAAAGTTTCCTGAAAATCTGTTCAGATTTATATATAGCTCCTATATATTTTTTCTTCCAATTTTCTGTAAATTGTGCACTAAAGACCCGTAGTTTCTCCAATTGCCCCAAAATTTTGAACAATAAACTGTAGTTAATATAAGTTAACCTCTGCCATTCTCATTGAAATTGGTTCAGTTTTCGATATAGCTTCTACATATATTTTCGTCCGATTTTACACAAAATTGACACAAATTTTGCACAACGTACTAAAGTTTTGATACAGCTTCTATATATACTTTCTTCCGATTTTAGGTAATTTTGTCCCATTTTAAGAAGCAACCCTATATCTGAACAAATAAAAAATTTAGTATAAGTTGCAGAATTCGACGTCTGTTAGCATTCATCTGTTGAATATATCCAAAGTGGTGAAGGGTATCATATAGTCGGCCCGGCCGACTTTACTACTTTCCTTACTGGTTTTATTTATTTTTGTATCCCTCAGGATCTCCTTGACAAAATATTCACTCTACATACAAACCGTTTACATATATCGTTACATGGAGTTCATTGTTTTAGTTTTCCCCCATAGACAAATTGTTTACATCTCTTGTGTAGCTGCGAATTTTGTGTAGATATTCTGCAATATGCGAACCTGTAACCAACACAACACACATGTTGCTGTGTCATCCAGAGAATATCGCCCACAAAAAAATGGCTAAATTTACAACACCTAAGTTAAAGGCAGTTAACGGGCATTATTTCTTGTCGAACACTAATAAATTTGCCAGGATCAGGCATTTGTTCTTTAAGCTGCGATAAGTTTTTGACACTGGTCCCCAGCAAAAACCAAACAGCGGACAACAATTTATGTTTCACTGGGTCCATAAACAAGCCAACCAGACAATTTGTTGATTTGAAGTCCCAAAAGTAACTGCGAACCAGGCGAAATGCGACATACACAGAGAATGCAATATTTTCATTCGAGGCCAAATTAAATTATTATCAGACAAAAAAAGGGAATGCACTCATATATTCAAACACTTTATAAAAGTGTTTTATGGAATTTGGCTCAATCACGGATGCAATTTTATTTATTGAAAATAAAAAAAAATGCTCAATGGTCAAATAATTTAAGCCACCAAAAATTCATTCATTTATTTTCGATTACACAATGCCCCGTTAAGGTTGGCCAGTATTGCACTTCGTGAATAGTGAACATGCCAGAATTTAATGTTTGATGTTGGATATCATCCAACCGCACCATTCGACTCCGAACCACCACCCTCGAAATGCACATCATTTTGCTGCATTCCTTTACAACCACACATCCACCATCATAATCTACCTCTAGGGTAGCACCGCAAATGCGTGGCTGTCATGCATGTGCATGTCAAGAGTTTTGGGGCTTTTTTCGGTCGGTCATAACAATTTTTTAGTGAACTTTATTGTGTTATCCTTTTTACTGTCATAAAACTTACGCCAACGATGCGAAAGGCAACCAAACTACGCAAAAAAACACCAACACCAACACCGACGAACGAAAATTGTTGTGTATCAACAACAATAGGAGTTTATCGTGTTACCATGTTCGCCCCGAACCCCGAGCAAACAAAATGGCAAAAAAAAATATCTTTTAGTGAGTGTGTCTGTGCAAAAATATTCGTTTACTTTCGGAGCAACAATGAACATGACTTTAATACCACATGAGTACCCGAAAGATGACTGCTTTCCAAATAATCCACCAAGGACATAACATTTCAGTTTTAAAATTTTAGTTTTACATATAAATGTTGTATGTACGTTAGTGTGTGCGAGTGCATTGAAAAAAGTATAACACGATTTTTTTGGGAAAATATTTAAAGAAGTTTTGACTTGAAAGTATTTAATTGAATTGTCAACTTGTTTGTGGCATAACAATATAACGTTTTCGTGGTAATGGAATTTGATAAAATTGTTTCTTAAAATACAACGAATGGAAAGAAGGAGACGAGTGTTTTTCTATGGAACAAAAATTTCCGACGATAGGAGGACACATATTGTCTATAGAAAAAAATTCTGACCACAGGGAGCCACTTTTTTTCTATAGAAAAAACTTCCCATCACTGGGGAGCACTTTATTTCTATGGAACAAACCACTTCCGACCAAATGAAGACACTATTTTCTATAGAAAACCAGTAAGGAAAATAGTAAAGTCAGACGGGGCCACTTCTTTCTATAGAAAACCAGTAAGGAAAGTAGTAAAGTCGGACGGGGCCGACTATATGATAACCTTCACCACTTTGAGTATATTCAACAGATGAATCCTAACAGACGTCGCATTTTTAAAGGATCAGTAAAATGACATTGGATCCATAAACATGTGATTCTGCAACCGATACTAAATTTTTCCTTTGGTCAGATATAGAAGCTATATCTAAATCTGACCCGTTTCAGGAAACTTAACACACGTCATTCTAGGCCTAATTCATGACGCTGTGCCAAATTTCGCCAAACTCAGCACACATCATTCTGCACTTAATATAGAACGCTATGCTAAATTTCGTGCAAATCGAATGATTTATAGGGACTTTGGTGCACCATTTACATAAATCGGACGAAAATATATATGGAAGCTATATCTAAATCTGAACCGATTTTTACCAAACTCAGCACACATCATTCTAGACTTAATTGAATACGATATGCTAAATTTCGTGCAAATCGAAAGATATATAGGGACTTCGGTGCACCATTTACATTACATCGGACGAAAATATATATACGAGCTATATCTAAATCCGAACCGATTTATACCAAACTCAGCACACATCATTCTGCACTTTATATAGAACGCTCTGCCAAATTTCGTGAAAATCGAATGATATATAGGGACTTTGGTGCACCATTTACATAAAATCGGACGAAACTATATATGGGAACTATATCTAAATCGGAACCGATTTTCACGAAACTAAACACACACCAATCTAGACTTTATTCAGTACGCTATAACAAATTTCGTGCAAATCGAAAGATATATAGGGACTTCGGTGCACCATTTACATGAAATCGGACGAAAAAATATATAGGAGCTATATCTAAATCGGAACCGATTTTCACCAAACTTAGCACATATCATTCTACACTTAATTGAATACGATATGCTAAATTTCGTGCAAATCGAAAGATATATAGGGACTTTGGTGCACCATTTACATAAAATCGGACGAAAATATATATGGGAGCTATATCTAAATCTGTACCGATTTTCATGAAACTTAGCGCACATCATTTTAGGCCTAATTCATTACGCTTTGCCAAATTTCGAGCAACTCGAAATATATATAGGGACTTTGGTGCACCATTTACATTAAATCGGACGAAAATATATATAGGAGCTATATCTAAATCGGAACCGATTTTCACGAAACTTAACACACACCATTCTAGACTTTATTCAGTACGCTATACCAAATTTCGTGCAAATCGAAAGATATATAGGGACTTCGGTGCACCATTTACATTAAATCGGACGAAAATATATATAGGAGCTATATCTAAAACCGAACCGATTTTCACGAAACTTAGCACACATCATTCTAGGCCTAATTCATTAGGCTGTGCCAAATTTCGTCCAAATCGAAAGATATATAGGGACTTCGGTGCATCATTTACATTAAATCGGACGAAAATATATATGGGAGCTATATCTAAATCTGAACCGATTTTTACCAAACTCAACACACATCATTCTGCACTTTATATAGAACGCTCTGCCAAATTTCGTGCAAATCGAATGCTATATAGGGACATTGGTGCACCATTTACGTAAAATCGGACGAAACTATATATGGGTGCTATATCAAAATCTGAACCGATTTTCACGAAACTTAGCACATATCATTCTAGACTCAATTCGGCACGCTATACCAAATTTCGTGCAAATCGAAAAATATATAGGGACTTCGGTGCACCATTTACATTAAATCGGACGAACATATATATGGGAGCTATATCTAAATCTGAACCTATTTTTACCAAACTCAGCACACATCATTCTGCACTTTATATAGAACGCTCTGCCAAATTTCGTGCATATCGAATGATATATAGGGACTTTGGTGCACCAATTACATAAAATCGGACGAAAATATATATATGGGAGCTATATCTAAATCTGTACCGATTTTCCCAATTTCAATAGGGTTCGTAATTGGGCCAAATAAGTGACCTATACCAAACTTCATACAAATCGGATCATAAATGCCACCTGTACTTTGTTCAAAAAAATTACATTGACGGACGGACGGACATGCGTAAATCGACTCAGAAAGTGATTCTATGCATATTCTCAAAAGGAACTATGTGTCTATCTCGTTTCCTTTTGCCTGTTACAAATATATGCACAAAGACATAATACCCTGTACCACAGTGTGGTGAGGGGTATAAAAATTTCCAACCACAACTGGATGTTACTTTTTTATACCGCAGAAGGACACATTTTCTAGACAAAAATATCGACCATAGGTGAAGGGCACTTCCCTCTATACAAAAAAAACTACCACAGGAAGAGAACACTTTTCTCTTCTCTTTTCTCTGACTTCTCCACCACGAACGCATGTGGCCAATTTTTATATAAATAATACTCTATGAGGACAATTTCTTAAAAAAAAAAACATCTAACTCAGGAGAATGTTTTTTTGTCCAGGGCCAAGAGGTGCTTTTCCTTACTAAATAAAAAAATTCTTCTTCCCTATTATATCACATGATTTTCTTGTCCAGCTGATCAAGAAGTCTAAGATTCCTCCCAGAAGACAAGCAGTCCTTCCAAAAATCGTTTAGTCTTCTAAGAAAAAGATATTCTATTAAAGAGGACCAAGATGTCTTCCTAGATGTTTTCCTTAGAAAATCCACAGGTGTTGTTCCCCATAGGAGCAAGTAGTATACTGCCGTAGAAACCAAGATGTATTCTTCTGTAGAAAATCAAAAGGTCTTATTTAATAGAAGACCAAGAGATTTTCTTACCCTGCAGATCAACAGGTGTTCTTACACATAGAATCAACTTCTATACAGCCGAAGAAGGCCAACAGATAGTCTTTCCTAAAAAAGTAGTAGATCAAGGGGTCTTCTTCTCCGGAATAGCATGTAGTTGTCTTCTCTAGAAAACCAGCAGGTTTTCCTCCTTTGAAGAACAATTTTTCTCTGGAAGGCCATGAGACATTTTTCATACAAAATAAAGAGATTCACGGTCAGGTTCTTTTATTCCGTTTAGTCTCCTTCGATTTTTTTTCGATCTTCATTTTATTTTTCAATAAACCTCTTCCAAGCCATATAAAAAAATGTTTTCATTTATTTCCTTTGCTTGCAGATATCTACATACAAGTCAACAAATACATAATGAAACCACTCGAGGAATACATGCTGTTTACAAAGTCCGGAGCAGATAATATAACTGTCATCAATCCACAGGGTGTACGCAGTGCCCAATGTGTGGCCAAATTCGATATAAGCGAACAACCATCGCAGGAGCCAATGGTCAATGTCAGTATGGTAAGCAAGATAATAGTAATTCCTCTACTCGGTTTCCAGGAATTTTGCAAAATTCATATTTAGGATGCCTTGGGGCCGGCCAGCATTCCGTCGTTCATCGTATCGTTTATTGTAAAATTGCAATATGGTGCGGGTATGACAAATGCGATACAAATATTTACATACTGTCACATTTATTGTCTTGTATTTCCCCACCATTACCCACCCTCCTTTCCGGTACCCATATCAACATTTCATTTCAATTTACTTTAATTTGTCTCCTTTATGCCTTCATCGACAGAGTGCCGATAATTGGGTGGAGGAGCCACCGCAACGGATACCGTACATTGCCAAATATGTCTACGATGTCTCTACGAAGGAGGATTCCACACAAGTGGTTTTCATAACGCTCACCTCCTTGTTTGTCATCATTGTCATTTGCTGTCTCATTGAGGTCTACCGCAGCCATTTGGCCTACAAAAGACGCATCGAACGTGAAACGGATGAAGACATTATCTGGTCGAAGGAGCAGGCAACCAAGATGCACGAAAGTCCCGGTGTGGGTGGACAGCCGTATGTTTACAAAGCCGTAAGTATGGAACGTGTATGTGTGTGTGTGTGCTCACAACCAATATTGTTTCCGTGTGTGTGTGCGTGTGCATGTGTACACTTAACTCCAGAACATGTTGGACATGTTTGTCTTTAATACTTTTGTTATTTTGTTCCGAAACATTTTCGTTAATTGATTTTCATTGTTTTTGTTACGCTTCATCGACATCTTCGCAATTTTCTCTGACTCGACATTATCTATTTTTACAGTTGCCGGTCGACGATAAGAAACCAGGTAACGGAGCACCACTGGTGGGCATACTGAAGAATGGCAGCATCAAGAGGAACGGCGAACTTGCTCTGTCACAACTGGAGCCACGCATTGTCGAAGAAGATGAAGAAGAAGCCGAAGATAAGGAACAGCAACAGCAGGAGCAGCAGAAGGGGGAGGAAACCAAAATTGAAATAAATGAAAAAATCAATGCCAAAGAAAATGCGGAAGATAAGACGACAGCCAGTGGTGGTAGTCCACAGCTGACAAATGATAACACCACAACCAAAGAACTAGAAAATAAAGAAGATGATACCAAAGCAGAAAAATTAGACGAAGGTAAATGATAGACATGATATATAATATAAAGAATACCATTAAAAGGAAGTTGTCTCTAGAAAAAAATTCAATACTTTGGAGTATATTTTTCTATAAAAAAATTTAGTCATTTGAATGATTTGTTTATATCAGACCTTTACAAGATAAAAAAATTAGACCTTTTAAAAAAAACAAGTGAAAAAGCGTTAATTTCGGCCGGGCCGAACTTTGGATACCCTCCACCATAGTTATACTGACAGATACATGCAATGAAAATATAGGGAACATACCAAAAAGTGCCATATACCGATAATTCTACAAACCGATTTATGTAAACCATTATGTACACCAAACTTCAGCAATTTTTAATGGGGATTTTTCCTAAAATCTGTAAGATCCAAATAGTGGACTGATACTGATAACGCATGGTAGAGTATAAAATCCTCCAACTACTGTAATTTAGATTACAAAGTTATATGAGGGTATGCCTAAATGGGGACCAATATTGATAACATAGTGTAGGAAATAGTGAATATTTGGGGATATCATTATATGAGGGCTATGCCTAATTAATGACCGGTATATGCCAATTTTGAACCCAATATTTTAATTGTTTATCTCAATTCTTTCCTTCAGGAGGTATCAGTATATTGAGGAGATGAGTTTTTTATCACAATATCTTTAGAAGGCGGAATGTTTACAACAGATGGCCAAAACGTCCTTGTAGGGTAAACATTTACTATTCCCCGTAACGACTACCCAACCCCGTAACGACTAATATTTTAATATAAAAAAGGGGGTTATATGGGGACTACCCCTAAATAGGGGTCAATATTAATAATTTTTGGTGGGGAGATTTGTTACCATATACGACTACAAAATACCAAATTTCAGCAAATTCGGTTGAAAACCGCGCTCAAGAACCCTAAAATACCGAAAATTGGGGGGTACCCTTATGTGGGGGCTACCCGAAAACATTGACCTATATTTATAAATTTTTGTGGAGAGATTTGCTACCGAATAAGAACTCAAATTACTGAATTACAGCCAATTCAGTGAAAAAATCCGGTCAAAACCCCCCAAAAACTGAAAATTGGGAGGTACCCTTATTTGGGGGCTACCAGAAAAAGTGGTCCTATATAAATAATTTTTAGTGGGGAAATTTGGTACCCAATAAGAACCCAATATACCAAATTTCAGCGAGTTCGGTTGAAAACCGCGCTCAAGAACCCTAAAATACCGAAAATTGTGGGTACCCTTATATGGGGGCTACCCGAAATAATTGACCTATATTTATAAATTTTTGTGGAGAGATTTGCTACCGAATAAAAAACTCAAATTACTGAATTACAGCCAATTCAGTGAAAAAATCTGGTCAAAACCCCCCAAAAACTGAAAGTTGGTAGGTACCCTTATTTGGGGGCTACCAGAAAAAGTGGTCCTATATAAATAATTTTTAGTGGGGAAATTTGGTACCCAATAAGAACCCAATATATCAAATTTCAGCGAGTTCGGTTGAAAACCGCGCTCAAGAACCCTAAAATACCGAAAATTGGGGGGTACCCTTATATGGGAGCTAAGCCTAAACGTGGAACGATATAGCCCATCTTCGAACATGACCTGCCTGCAGACAAAAGACGACTCTATGCAAGATTTTAGCTTTCTATCTCGATTCATTTAGACGCTAGAGTGATTACAACAGACAGACAGACGGACATGCTTAGATCTTCATAGAATTTTATGCTGATCAAGAATATATATACTTTATAGGGTCGGAAATGATTATTTCGATGCGTTACAAACGGAAAAACAAAACTAATATACCCTCCATACTATGGTGGAGGGTATAAAAAATATTTATATTTCTTTAGATGATACTTTTTTGAAAATGTAGTCGAGCTTTCTAAAAATAATTTAGTCCTCTGAAGGACATTTTTCAGACTTTTCTAGGATATTTATAACACTTTTAATTCAGAAAAACTAAAGCTAAATTTGGTCGAAATTTTTGTATAGAAAAAATTACCTCCTCCGGAGCTTGGATATTTTTGTATCTACCTACTTTTCCTCCTGATATCGGAGGATGTATCCTCCTTTTTAGAAAAATGTATTGAACTGAGGCTGATAATTTTTTCTAAAGAAACAAGTATTCTCCTGTGGTCGGATTTTTTTTCTGTAGAAAAAAGGCTCCTCCTGTAGTCGAAAAAATATCGACCTAAGTTGAATACTTTTCTAAAAAAATCGACCTCGGGAGAATAGTGTTTTCTATAGAACAAATTAAAAAATGTCTATAAAAGAAGGATACATCCTCCGATCTCAGGATCCGAGATGCATGATAGTCCCTACTATGGTTGGAATTTTTTTCTGTATAAAAAAGTCTGATCCTGTGTTCGGAAATTTTAATCTGTAGAAAAAAGTCTCCTCCTGTGGACGAACATTTTTTCTGTAGAAAAAAAGTCTCTTCCTGTGATAGGAAATTTTTTTCTGTGGAAAAAGGTCTCCTCCTTTGGTAGGACATTTTTTTCTTTGGAAAAAAGTCTCCTTCTTTGGTAGGAATTTTTTTTTTTTAGGAAAAGGCAACGCCTGATTTCGGAAATTTTTTTCTGTAGAAAAAAAGTATTCAACAGAGATCGGAAATTTTTTTTAAAGAAAAAAAGTATTCAACGGTCGTCTATATTATTTCTAAAGAAAAAAAGTATTCTTCTGAGATCGAATTTTTCTCCTCCTGTGGTCCGAAATGTTTTCTATAGGAAAAAGTATTCTCTTATGGTCGGAAATTTGTTTCTATAGAAAAAAGTGTCCTCTTATGGTCGGATTTTTTCTATAGAAAAAAAGTTTTCTCCTGAGGTCTACATTTTTCTATAGAAAAAGTTTTTTTTCCTGGGATCGGAATTTTTCTATAGAAATAGAATAGAATATATTTTTCCTGGGGTTGGACATTTTCAATTCCAGGGAATGTTTCTAGGATTGACTAAACCTTATGTATAATTTAATAATTCCTTTATTTCTTCAACAGATCTCCCAAAAACCACCGAAACTCCCACAACAAGTTCCACACCAACCACATCGACCTCAAAATCCGAGGATACCGTCGATAATAAAACAGCAAACACAACAACGAAGGATGGTGATCAGAGCCAACAATCGAATGATAGTCCAGTCACAGCGACAACTGCACAACAGCCAACGGCTGAAGCCATACAAGAAAATGGTCTAAAAACTTCATCGTCGGCAACGACCTTGGACCAGTCAACGGTAAGCATTGCAACATCAAGTTGTCTATCGTCTAACGAAGATATACCCTATAAGAGATTGGCTCCCATATGCACCATAAGTGAAACGTCTCTTAATTTTGATTGAATACCGCACGACGATGACAGCAACAACAACAACAACCACAATTACTGAATGCAACAACAGCAAATGAGACCTGCAATTGCAAGTGAACAAACCACCGATACTGTGGCGTTGACAACAATAACAAAAAACAATAATAATTATAATAACAATAACCGTAACCATAACTATCATAGATACCACTTACTAAACAAATAAACAAACACACTCTCACACATCAGTCGAATATATGTAAATACATACACACACCCACATACATATGTATTTTTGTATTTAATGCATGTTTAGTAATCCTTTTATAGTTTATGGTTTATTTGCCGGCCGTTTTTATTATGGTTTCTTGTTGTTATTCTTTGTTAAGAGTTTAAATCATTTTTTTTTTGTAATTTATATCATCGTTGTTGTTGTTTTAATGCATATTATGAATTTTATTGAAATTTATATTTATTTAATTTTATGGTTTTTGTTCTCTACTTTACTTTAGTATATTTACTAATATTATCTAGTCTAGTGCATGTTGTAAAAAAAATGTGTATATTGGGGTGGAGTGAATGAAATGGGAGAGACATTTGCATTAGTGGCAAACGTAGGGACATGTAATTGAAGTTCAATCAACATGAGGATGGTTTTATAAAAAGGACTAGGAGACTAACAGTGGTACCACATGTTTTTTTGTTTTTAAATCTCAAGGACAGTCAGATGCCCCAGCATTAGTCTTGTTTTCAAAGAACCAGCTCAAATTTTTATAAGGACTGTCAAAGGCAATTGTAAGTATTTTTTAGGTTGAATGAATTTTTGAAAAATTTTTGAGGGCTAGACTTTTTTTAAGAACTCATCGTCAAAATGAAATCCGGAAATTTTACCAACAAGTGTGTTGAGGATCTGGAAGGAGTATTTTTCATAGCTTGTCGTGTAAAATAATGACAGTGAAGAAGATATCCCGGAACCGGAGAACGATTTGACCCACGCCGTCGATTACTCTTTTGTGTTGGGATCATGTCCATAGACCAAAAATTCATAACATATTCCGAATTACGAAAAATATACAGCGATCGTATATTTTTAGATTAATCCGCCGTGGACGAACGATAAGATGTATTTAAAAGTTCTTAAATATTTCGGGACCATAATAGGTGTTCTATATTGTGTTAAGAGACTTTTATTCTCTGGGCAATGTGAAATACCATCAAAATGCCTAGAACGAAGCGATAAGTTTTTATGTGAAATATGGACCTACATATATTGAACATTTTTGTTAAGGATGATCCTGAAATGCCAAATTACAGGCTCTTCGATCGGAAAATATTCCTAGGACTTCTAATGAAATTCTAAATATTCTATGAAATTCTAAATACCTCAAATGGGACGGGACAATTGTTAACAGTTTTCTCTGAAAATATTTTTCACTCTAAAAAAACCTTGAATACAAAAAAAAAACCTTTAAAATACCGAAAATAAGGCGATACTGTAATATGAGGGTACCTCAATGAGCCCAGAACCTCAAAGAGCCCAGAATATCTAATAACAGCCACTTCAGAAGATACCCCGAAACCAATTTAAGATGTCGTTATAGGAACTATTCATGGCGGGTGGTCAGATGCTGATCGGCAGCATGTTACTTGGCGAGAGGAACGTATGCTCAATGATTGGAACAGCATCCTCTAAGTCCTAGATA